GTGCGATCTAGCCGAAGTATATAATAATTTTTTTAATTATTTTATTTTCTTCACGGTCTAGATCACTTACAAATAGTCCTTTTACAATATAATAACTTCAAATAAAAATAAAAGAAAAGAATACAATAGGATCTCAAGAACTTGAAACCGTTCAAACCATACTTTCATTAACATAAGAAAAGACAACCTATGCTTGGAAATAAAAGACATAATAAATAAATATGAAAGAAACAAAAGAGGGTGCTGGAGATTACCTCAACTGGGTTTCTTACATCCGACATCGAATCACCACCTTCCGATGGCGCGGGATCTAATGGTCAACTTTCAATCTCAACCGGAAAAGCAAGTTTGGACAACCTATACCAATGGAACATGAACCCCTTTGATCACAAACTCAAACCCTAGGTGAATCCCCTTAGCAACCTAATTTGAGAGAGATGCTTCTCTTTTCTTCCACAACTCTATAGTCTAAAACCCCAAAGAGATGAGAGATCATCAGAGACACCATGAGATGAGAGGTGCCCCCCTTGAGTTTTCATGAGATGAGAGAGAGTTTCCAAGTTGAGAGAGAGAGAGAGTTTCTAAGTGGGGCATGCCCCCTTTGTGGAATGTGAGAGAGAGAGATGAAAATTAGGTATAAGAGATGGTATAGAGATTTTGGGTAGAGACAATCTTTTTTTTATAGTGCTTGATCAAGATTAGGGTTTCTTAGGGTTTTCCTTGGCTTGCCCCTCATATGAGATTGAATATTAACCATTGATCTATTCTCCCCATTCCATAGATGGGCCATCAACAACTTATGGAAGATGCTAGACCATTATCCCTCACTTCATAAACCATTTTTCCATCAATTAATTAAAATAAAAAATTAATATATCATAATATTATCATTTCTTTGTTCAAGCATAAGCCTTTTCATACATTCCAAAATATTAATCAAATATTCTTCAAAGCTTCAAAACTTTCCAAAATGATACAAAACCTTCTCTCAAGCATCAAAGCTTGAACACCAAATAAGAAAAATACCATAGGTGGGGCGTGCCACCCATGGTGGCACATAATGGGTCCCACCCATCATGTAATGGTGGACTCGAAAGACCTATTGGGCCTCCCTTGCATATATAATTTATTTTATATTTTTGAATATGCACAAAATTATTATTCGAATATTTAAATTATTAAAAAATCAATATCTATGTTTTTATAAATCCAAATTTGATAAATAAAATATCTAGAAAGTAAAAATAATTCAAATAGCAATTTTAAAAAAAAATAAAAAATAAAATGTAAATAAAATCAATAAATCTTGATGGGAAAATGATCCATATGGTATAAAAACAAATATCAATTGGGGCAATCCATGTCCAACCGTGAACTACGAACCACACATGCTTTCTCAAACCGACCCATCGTTGCTCATGACTTACAGTCTATACATGGGATCATTAGTGGGTCACTAAAGTCTAGCCAATGGGCAAGGCATCGCAGTCCCAGTATATGAATTTCAAGTCTCCCTCGGAGATGAAACGCCTAGGTCATCCTGACCTTGATGCAATTCATGGTTCGATGGTGTATAAGGGATATCTCTCGCACATGCACACGCTTAACCCTGAAAGTTATACGCTCTCTCGAAAATGGTTATCGATGTGCATGTCGTGTGATGGAACAAATGATGAGGATTTGGCCCCGTCCCTCAAGGCCTCCATCACACAAGGGTCACACAGTCCCTCGGCTCACTCATCCGAGCATACTCCGACCTCATCAAGGGATACCTATATAACCCTCATTGGCACGATTCTCAGAGCCCAAAAAACTTGGATTTCCCCAATCAGACTAACCTAGCATGTCAAACACAGTCTAGTATAAGCAAACATCGTTTGCTCATTATGGTCCATAAGGGACCACATTCCCATTGAGTTCATGTTCCACTATATCATTGCATTTTATAAGCACTCATAAAGCCTTTAATGACCACACTCACCCAACGTAATTATCCTTCCCAAACCACTGATCCCAACCCTACTGCCCACTCTATCAACATGGCTCCATCTACAATGGAACATGTTGATAAAAAAAAAGAAAAAAAGGACACAATGATAACTTGGGTTTAGCCTAAAGCCCTCAATCTCAACCTCAATAAGAGCTCAAGATCTTGGTTCTCTCTCTACAAAATAGCTCAGGAAGCCCTTATCAAAAGTGATTTTGTAATAACCATAAATGCCCTTCAATGAGAAATTTTATTGAGAATGATTTTTTATTACTTACCCAACAAAATACATCATAACTAGAGAGCTACTTGGCTATCTTAGAAGCATGGGTGCCATGTGATTCTATCAAAGTCAAAAAAAATATAGACGGAAGTTGGAATAAAGACGAATGTGCCAACTAAGAAACCAATTCAACAACAAATAAACATGTGAACAGGGGGCAAATTTCAATATATGCCACCGCACTTCTAGCCATCTGATCTAAATAGACAGTTGAAATGACATCAATCATAATGTCATACTTAAACCCTATTTTATTTGTATTTTTATTTTTTATTACAAATCTTATTGATACCACATTTGGGGCATCCCATACACAGACAAGGTTGCACCAACAAAAAATATTAAAAAAATTATTGATAAAATAAAATGACTAAAATACCCTTAAAAGTTTGAGAGGTAGTTTGGTCATTTTATTTTTGAAATATTTTTATTTTTATATTTTTTAGGTCCACCCCATTGATTTGATAACACCCAATTTCAAGTTCATATAATTTGTAGAAAAAATTAAAAATAAATTACTTTGCTATGTTGATCTAGATCAAATAATAAGAGGCTCACTTTTCATTGTGGCTGAATGTAATCCAATCATCCATTCAAATCAAACAGTAGCGAGAGAGTGACGTATATAAATTCTCTATGCCTAGTAGCATATAGAAAACTTTTCCTTCAAAAACTTTAGAGTAAAAAATGGAGAAAGAAGGCCACGATTTTGGACATTTCATATATATGCTCAAAATTCCAAAAGAAATAATCTCGGAATGTCAGGGCCAACCATGGATATCAAAATACTAGCAATGGCATCATATGTCCTTTGTCTTTTTCTTTTTTTAGAGTTTTAAATTTCATGACTAGGGACAAAAACATTTGTTTTTAGATTTCTGGCACCCAAACTACATCTTTTAGCATAACTTAAAGGTAGGCCTTACTTGGTTTGTTTAAGGTTGGCGTTTTATACAAACCGCATTTTCAAGCCTTCAACATATGTTCTTTATCCTCAATAACCAGATGTTGTGTTTGAGAATGGGGTTGGAGTCGTAGTAGTAGCGTCACTTGTACCCCGGCTAAAGTCTAGGCTTCCATTCTCACTTAACGCATTCAAAAACCACTAGCGATTTCAAAAAACAGGTAGGGGCTTGTCATCCCCACTAAATTACCCAAAAAAAAACTAGACGTGCGTTTGTGTCGACCTCTTGTGAATGCACTTCGATTCATTTCCTTGCTATTTATTAACTTCCTCTTGACCATGCATATCTTAACATGCTGAAACCATAGGTGGCCAATTATAAACAACAAAAACTTATCAAATTGCACTTAAGAATTAAATTATTTAACATTTTATAAGGTTTTTTTAACTTAATTTCAAATCGTTTGTCATTCTTTTCAAATAGACCATCAAGGGAGACATCATCATGGGTCATTAAACGTTAAAATGTTGGAAATTATTGAAGGGGTAAAATGATAAATGTTTGATCTGTCAAGGATGGTTTCATGAAACAATAAGATGGGGAGTATAAATTGAAATGTCACTAATTATTAGGGAGTTTACATTGTTCATTGTAGAGGAAAACTGAAGGATAATGCAGCTATACAGGACAGTTTCTAATTTGAGACTTGAATGGGAGTAAATTGCAACTCATTAGTGTTCATTTGAACAAGGGGTGGTTTGTATAAGGCCGAGGCTCTAAACCATCAAAGTAAGGCGCACTTTTAAATAGTGTCGAAAGATGTTGTTTCAATATTGTAAATTTTTGTGATGGCATGAAAATTTATTTTCAAGTCCAATTATAAAATTTTAAACTTAAAAAATAGTGTAGATCAAGCATATCTATTAACGCTTGAAAATCTTGAAAATTAACAGTCCAAATATACATTACAAGACTTGTTATTTTCAAGACTTGAAATCTACTTTTTTCATGTCCATACATCTTGAGATTGATATGGTTGATTTGAGGATTTTCGGGTATTGAAACAACCTTTTCTAGTGAGTTTTTGATGTGGGCCTTAATTTGATTGTTTAGGAGCTCGCCCTTATATAAACTTTTTGTTTTGAGCAATCAAGATTGGACCCAGTTTCTATGGGCCATGCTTGCATATATAGAAATGCGGGCCTATTAATAGATTTATTTTTAGATGGATTTTTGGACTCTCTATCATGAAGACAATGAATATGAAAAAATAAGTAAATTTTAAAAAATAAAAATAATAATTCTAGTAAGAAAATTTGGACCGTTAGTTTCAATCATTTTTAGATGGAATATGTAGTCATGCAGTCCACCCCGCATGAAACAATTTTCGATCAAGATTTTACCTGAAGCTTTAAAGCTCTGCCTTCTCACAAAACCCTACCCCTCTCTAAAAGCTGTCCTTCTCTCTCATAAAGCTCCATCGCCACTCTCTCTCAACCCTTTGCGTCCTCTCTCGCAGACCCACAAGCGAGGATCCATTTGCAAGCCATAAACCACCTCATCTTCTTCGGATCCATTTGCAAGCTTTCATCTTCTTCAACAAGGTAAGGTTTTTTTTTTTTGGCTGATATTCTTTTATTTATTTTTGCTAGTTTTTCTTCATCTTAGTGTAAAGGTTCTTCAACAAACAATGTAGGGTTTCCCTTATACGGAACTCCATACAAAATACCTTATCTTCTTCAACAAGGGTATGGATTTTATTCTTGTCATTTTCCTGGTTTTTCCCTCTAGATGGTGTTTTTTTTTTAATTACCAATGCAAACATTTTTTTTTCCTATGATTTTCCCATCAAAATTTGTTTCTTTTCTATTTTTGGCTTATTTTGTTGAGTATAGAAGCAGAATTTGCGTCGTAGAAAAATATGGGTATGGGTTTTTTTTTTATTGTATTTTTTCTGTTTTTATTTATTAATTTCTTGCTGGTTTTCTGGGTGGTTTTGTAGCTGGTTTTGTTGTATGGGTAGTGCATACAAGCACCATTTGCTCTGTAGAAATTTGTTGCTTTTTTATTTATTATTTCTTACTGGTTTTGTGATATGTGTTGCGCATAGAAGCACAATTTTCTCTGTAGAATTTTTTTTTGCTGGTTTTTTTAGTAGAAGATTCCATTTGTTTAAAGGTAGAAAACAAATCAGTGACAGTCAAGGTTTCAAAACACGCCTCGGACTCAGGACTCGGTCCTGGCCCAAGCCGGCAACTGAGTTCTGCTCCACTCCAAAAAGGGCTTGGGAAAAAGAAAAAGAAAACAGTTTCCAAAAAATAGAAATGCCATTAAACGAGGAAAAACACCTTAATGTAGAAGGCAAAGATGAATCATGATACAAATGATGGGAAAAATCTAAGCATTGGCAGATAGTCATACAGTTTAACAAAAAAACTGCATTCTAACCAAAACCAAGAATTTATGGGTCAAACTCTCAAATTTTCTAGGCTTTGATCCAACAAATTAGTATGGGGATCTTGAAAAGAATTAAATCACATTCAACTAGAGCCAAGTTTCAATGGATTTGGATAAAAAATGAGGCAGAAATCAAAACTGCATTTCATTCCCCAATACCGAGAATTTTTGGGCCAAATCTCTCAATTTTTAGGCTTTGATCCAGCAAATTAGTATGGGGTCTTGTAGAAGGTTGAATCACATTTAATTTGACAAAATTCGATAAAAAATAATAGAGAAATCTAAGCATTGATGGAATGGAGTAGGGTTCAAAAAAAAGAAAAAACAAACTGGTTTATTTCACCAAAAGAAGAAGAAGAAAAAGACGAAGAAGAAGAAGAAGAAAACAAAGATGAACTCTCTATGCATTGATCAAAATCAATCAATTTTGTTCAATTTTGATCAACGATAGGGCTTAATATAACCCAAGTACCCAACAAATAATTGTATTGATCAATTATAGATCAAAATGGCCAAAAGTTACAGCATAAATCTGTAAAAGCAGCTGACCAAAACAGGTTACCCACCTAGCGAGTATGTAGAGCTAAACCTGGCTCAACTTCCTGCCAAGGCCAAGTAACTGAGTCAAGTCCGAGATGACTTGGTTGAGTCTTTGAACACTGGTGATGGTGGTCATTGGGAACAGCAATCATTGATCGATTCAGTGTTACAATCTGTAAGTTCAAGAATCATATCCATCTTTCTTTTGAGAATAGTACCAAATTAATTGATATGCCTGATTGCAACATTCATTTTCTGCTGCCAGTTAGATGTTAGCAAGTTCTTGCCATGCTGCCACACAATGCACTTCAAAAGCAGAAAAACAAAGTAAGTAATCCTTGTAAGAAATCTAGTCATATGCATGGGCAGTGTCTATGAAAGAAATAAAAAAATAAAACGAAAAGGACCCTGAATCAAAATGCAAAGAAGCTATTGCTATTATCCTCCTGCAGAGAGATTATGGCAGAACTGATAGTGATTGTTCCAGAAGAAATAAGAAAAAAAAGGACAGTTACTTCCGTAATTACAATATTAGTACTTTATAAGAATCGATACCATCTATCTAAGGTTCCTCAGCAAAACAAAGCAAATTATACAGAGCAGATGGAGGTCATGTCTTTCTGGATCAAGAAAGTGTCAAATCTACATTTATTGTTTACTTTATGCACAAATAACTTGACTCAGCATTTCAGAACTACAAACACTTTGTGATCCAAACCATAATCATGAACCCTTGAAGTAGTGTGATGGCAAAGGTTCAGCTTTTAAGGACTTGACATCCTTAGAATTCATTTTATAACCAACTTCCTTTCTAACCATAAGACTGGAGTCAACACTAATGCAAAGCAAAACCAAGGAAAGGAAACATCAAATCATAAAAAGGCATTATTTGGAAAAATACATCCCATAAACTTATTCGGAAAGAACAATTACTGAAGTCAAGAGAACGATGAGAATCACAGGGTAGTGTCACTTGAGAGACTTTAAAAGTTTGGCTTTGACCATTCATAAGCCTCGAATCAGAAAGTCTACTTTGTGAAGAAGCAACAAGTATCTATTGCCCATGCAAATCATTTGTATTTCATACAAACAATAACACTAATAGCAATACGTGCAAGAAGAAATTAGATGCGGCATGTGCAGAATCAATGGGAACAAGTGGCTGCATTATTTGCATATCAATATTACAAGAAGTAACTCTAATATGATTTTACCTGTTCCTTCAGCTGGATAAATGGCATTAAAAATAGAGTTGTGTATCGAGAGCATTTGCATTAAATGGCCCATACAATGCAAGTGTGCTCACCTACACTGAAATATAAAATAAAATAAAGTACTGCATGAAATATAGAGGTGGTGTCAATGCAAAGTTAGAAATTTGGAAAGATGCTCTAGAATCTGAAGGTTTTGATATTAGATGGACTAAGACATAATATATGAAACACAGGTTTAGTAATAATAAGAGTAGAAATGAGAAGCTAGTTAAGATTGATGGCCAAGACATACCTAAAAGACGTTATTTTGATATCTTGGGTCGAGAATTTAGGAGATTGGAGAGATTAAGGAAGATGTTGCACATAGAATTAGAGTTGATTGGGCAAAGTGGAGATATGCATATGGAGTTTCATATAATTGCAGCATACCAATGAAACTAAAGTGGAAGTTTTATTGGACGGTGTAAGACCAGCCATGCTTTGTGGTATTGAATGTTGGACGGTCAAGAAATAACACATCTACAAGATGAGTATAGATGAGATGAGGATGTTGAGATGACTGAGTAGCAAGACAAGGATAGAATTGGAATACATAAATATTAGGGAACTTAGGGGGGACTCAAATAGGCGATAAGATGAGGGAAATTAGACTTAGGTGGGTTACGCATGTACAAGGTAGACCTAATACAACATTGGTTAAGAGGGACAATTTGGTTCAAGTGGAAGGTTCTAGAAGGGCGAGGGAAAGTTTTCAAAGGACATGGATGGAAGTTATGAAAAGAAAAATGTGGTGAATTATGGTCTGAGTGAGGGTATGATCCTTGATAGATCAAAATGGTGGAACATGATTTGTATAGCGACCCCAAATAATTGGAAAAAGGTTTGGATGATGGTGATGATGTGTTTTGTTCTTCATCGATCCTTGATGTATTTTGTTCTTCATTGATCCCTGTAATTTTCAATTGCATAGTGGATTTGATTATCTCTCTCCATGGGCATAGCGGATAACGTGCACCACACTAAAATTTGTGTTCTTCCGTACTTCCTTGCTTGCCTTCTTGTGTTTCTTGCACACATACACATGAAGTATTTGATATTTTTTTGAGAGTAAGGGTAACTTTTGTATTGTTATGAAGAGTTGGTGTACAGATGTGGGGTAGTCCGAGAGTGCCCACTAGACGGGTCTCTCGGTAAAAATAGGTCATCAGACCTGTACAAAAAATGGGCTTATAGACCTGCCCGATGAAGTATTTGATATTTGGCCCCAAAGTCGCACAAAGCTCCATATAGTAAATCCGCGTTGTAGCGAGAGGGCGTTCCATAGCTCCACAATGGCCTTCTGTCCTTATTCGTTAGAACAATGGGCAAGCTAATTCTCTTCCATAGCCATCTCATGGTCTATCATGATGTTATTTTATTTTCCATGGAAGTTGGTCAATGACTTAAAGTTGTTGCTCTTCTATTTCTTTTGACATAAGGTGTTGGTTTCTCTGAGCACACATACTTCTGTAGTATTATTTGATTGAAGATATAAATTGTTATATGATGTGGTTGTTTTGAATTTTGCTCGTGCAGGTTGGGTTTTGAATTCAGGAATCATGTTGTACTACGATTGGAGAGATATTTTGAAGATACAGAAATTCAGGAGACTCGTGTCATACGCTGGATTCTACTGTTTCACCGCTGTTCTATCATATGCCTACACAAGCAACACGTCAGTTGTTGTTTTTATCTCTTTATGCACTTTCCAATGAACTTTTGTCTCTTTAGTTACTTCTTTGTATCAATGTTTTTTGCAGGACTAGAGCAGGAATTTCCAGAGGAGATCAATTTTATGCTTCCTATCCAGCTGGTACGGAGTTGTTAACAGACACCGCGAAGGTAAATAGTGTGTTAGCGTTGATTATACCTCACATGACGTTTGTTTTTGTGGGGGTGAATTTTCATTGGTTTTGTTATCCTATTGGCAGTTATATAAAGCGGCCCTCGGCAACATTTTTGAAGAAGAGGATTGGGGTCCTATTGAGTATTCTATTATGGCAAAGCATTTTGAGAGACAAGGCAAACCGCCTTATGCATATCATGCAGTAAGTTTAATGATAACAATAGCATTCTAAATGCACAAATGGGAATCAATTTCTATTCACAAGTTTTTTTTTTTGTTCTTGTGATATCGCTCTAGGAAATAACTTTGTTCTTAAGATGCAACTATAGGTGATTCGTCCATGCTTTTTGTTTGTATTAATGATGTTGCAGGGCTATTTACATGTACTTGCACGAATCACTGACACACACTTCACCACGACATTTGGTTATTAGCAAACACTAGTGTATTGGATCCATCAGAACTCCAGATGGGATGACGTTTTGTCATAAACTATGCTTAATGCACACACATTATCTGGACAAGTAACTTTTGTTGAGGTAAAGTTTTTGGACGAGACCCACACATGTGCATGTATTTTGTATCCCTGTCACGGTGTGCATGTGGTCTGTATTTATGCATCTCTTTTTGTGTATACTCTCATAAACATGTGTACCCTTATATGTTTACGTATGTGTGTGGGCACCTGTGCACACGTGCTCGAACATGTCTAGCTTTTTTAACATATCCATGGCAATATTAAAAAAACAAGAAAAACTTATCCATGGCATTAACTTGAGTTCTTTAAACCTAGATATTATTGGCTCTTTTCACTTGCTTCGGTTGTTTCACTTGTTAGAAAGTTAAGAATGCATCATTCTTAATGTGGAAAAATTAGGCAATTGAAAATATGTAGTGTATGCCCAGTAATCTACTGGTTTGAATGATTTCTCTTTATACCTATGAATCTCACCATCTTCCTGTTTTCTGTATGGTTTCAGCAATACATGGCACACTTGCTTTCCCATGGACAATTAGATGGTGCTGGATCCTAAGAGAATATTTGCCCCTTACTAATGAGAATCAGTGTGCAGTCTCTACCGGGCAAATTTACTAGATGTATCCATTTTTAATTTTATTTGCTGTGTTCTTTGTAATTTTAGAATTATGAAGGAACACCTTCATTGTAGTAAGTTAGAAAGCACAATGTGATATGCAAGATCAGTCAGTTATGATCTCATTGTGCATTAAAAATTCCTTTTGCGCCCTTCTTTTTCATGAAATGACCATTACATTTCAATTTTTCACCAGTGCCTCCTTTTCGGGCAAGGTTGTATTTTCCCAAGGTTGAGCTAGCTGGTACTTGATTCAAAATCCAACCAGAAAAGTTCTCAAATCATTCAAGGATGGCAGAACGCTAACCATGAATGCCTTTTAGGCAAAAGTTTTCATGAATTTTGTCTATATTTTGTCAGTTGAACCATATTTGGATGCTTAATCTTTCACATTCTTTGAAGTTTCTAGGTTTACAAAATACTTTGCATGCGTGCTTACACTAGTAGGCTTGTGTTTTATGATTGGCTACCCATGTCCACATCTAAAAGATTAAGAGGTACATGTGAGAGGAAGAAGATCCAAAATTGAGAATATTTTTTTCGTTGAAAGTATTTTGTATGAACACAAATCTCACCAGAAAATGCAATTCTATAGTTGGAAAACCTGTATATTTGTCGACGAACGTTTACGGAGCTTAGAAAATTTGGAGCCCCATAACTAGGCTTCCAAGGTCGCGTATCCACTAGGTACATATGTATCATTTTAGGAGTTGACTTACATAATCAAGGGTGACAGATTTTCGGGCTATCATAATGATTCCAGTAGTATAACTCTGTTTTATAAGGAGACCTTGAGCTGCTGCACTGTTTTAAAATCTGCTGATTCATATCAGATTCATCCAATCTGAATTGAGCTCGGTAAGCGGGCGTGTTGAGTCTGGGATTGCCTAATTTCCACCTTTTTTCTTATTTTTGTGATATTTTAATATTATTTTGCTTATTTCTACGGATTTGGATCAACCCACCCAATCAGAGCCGGTTAACACGTGGCAGTTTCAACTGGTTCTTGAAACGATAGAAGTTTTGGACCTTTTGAGGTAGTTATAGGCTTTGGGAGATAATTCTAATGGTTAGTCTACAAAAATAGGTTTTAATGCAATTTTTTTGCTTTTATCTATATCAGCTGTAGAATTGGGAAAAACATAAAGTAACACACAAAGTAGCTAAGTTTGATCGTCAGCTAAATCAATGTCTTGGTCCTATGCACGTAAAAAAAGAAAAAATAAATTGATCATGAAGCTTTATAAATACTATACAATACGAACATTTACTTTTGGTGCAAGGTAATTACAATTAATATTACCATTGAATGTGAAATTGGATGGTTGTATTTATTTATTTTTACAAAACTCAAAATTCAAAAAAAAAAATTTAAACTTGGTGATACATCCAATCTATCAGATTTCACCTAATAACTAAGATGAATATTCTGATTGTAATCCCCAACATTTTTTAGAAGTGAAATTTTCCCCGTTGTCGTAACATTGAATATTAAAATTCCCACTTCAAACAGGCGTGACGGCTTTACCATAATCGCACCCATTTGGAAATGTAAACGCCAGTAATTGGCCGAGATATTACCAAACCTCAAGACGCCAGATTGATCGTTGGAGCGCTCGACGCGGTAAAAACAAGACAAATAGGGGATATTTTCGGCATGAACGAAAAAACAAGCGGGTGTTTTGGTCAAGACAATAATCGGCGGGTAAATAAAAAGAGCAGGACCGCTTTCTGGTAACAAACTCTCTCCCCTGTTCCCTGAAACTAGAGAGAGAGAAGTAGAGAGAGAGAGTGAAGTGAGAGAGAATGAGGAAGAGGATGAAGCTTATTGAAATGAGAGAAGAGATGAGTGGGAATGAGATTGTTAAAGGAGGAATAGAGAAGAATAAGAAGAAGAGTAAGAAGGGGAAAAACAAGGGTGTGAGCATAGAAGACTACGCTGCTTTCCGTTCCGATGCCTGGGCAAACCCTCTCACTGCTTATCAACTTTGCAAGGTATTATCGCTTATTGTATATCTCCTTTCTTTCAGATTTATCTCTTTTCTTCTGCTTCTGCTTCAATGATGATTCAACCGCCCTTTATCCCCTGGTTCATTGATGGTTTGCCCTCTCTTTCTGTATCTTTCTTGTTTCTATACTAATGATTCGACCTCACTCACTCCCGTCTGCTGCTTCTGCAATAATTCTCTCTCTCTATCTCTGCTTCTTAACTAATGATTTGACCTCTCTCTCTCTCTCTCTCTCTCT